GCACGGCACAACACAACACAGCACGGCACAACACGGCACAGCACAAAACAACACGGCACGGCACAGCACAAAACAACACAACACGGCACAACACAACATAGCACGGCACAACACGGCACGGCACAACACAGCACGGCACGGCACGGCCATGCACGGCATGGCTGAGCTTGGGCTGCTCCCCATGCAGCAGGGACCCAACACGGCTCTTTCCAGCAGAAACAGCACTTTTATTTCTAACATCACCCCGTTTGCTCATTTCGTTTTCAGAAAGTGGACAGTGGGATTGCTTGGTGCAAAGAGAAAAGTGGTTTGTCCTGGAAACCTCAGTTCCAGTTTGCAGCTCTTGTGGGGGTTTTACTTTAGGTTTAGGGGGAAATGGGTAAGAAGTGTGTAGAAGTGTGCACTGTTTTTATGTCACATTGCCCCTCTTGCTATCATCTTGTAGTTGAAAATTTGAATTAATCTTGCTAATCTCATCTGAATCAGTCATCTGAATATATCAGAAATTGCAGTGTAACACAGACACCTTTTAATAGCAACAAGACCAATTTCCCACCCACATTTTGATTTCAAGCCCCAGATACAATGATTGGTGGTAACTGCTTGAAACTCAGACCAAAGGACACAGCAGGGCGCGGGAGAACCAGGTCAGAGTTCGAACCGACTGTGTATGTGTTTGGATTTCAACTTGTTGTATTTGGTGATCAGATCCAGTTTACTGTGCCCAAGAGTCATTCTTTTCTCAGCCCCGTATGCGCTGCTCTTTTCCGACAGCATGTCCTCAGTGAGTTTATCGTAGGAAGGAACTACAGGCTTTTTCTCACGTTTTGGCTGGTTGTACGGAGACAGCAAGTCCAATTTCCCTTGTCCAAAACCCTGTCTTTTCTCCATCCCATAAAAACTGCTGTCATTTTCTGCAGCTGGTTCCCCAGAGGGAGCAGCAGGCCCTTTCTGCTTCGTGCTCGGCCCGGTGCTGCTGGTGCCTTCAGAAGGGCACTGCTGTGTCGGCTCCTGCGTCAGCGTGGAGCAGTGGCCGCTGTTGGCCCTGTCATCGCCTTGGTAATAAGGTTTGTAGGAGCCAAAGACAGGGGATAGCTCTGGCTGCAAGAATGTCCTCCCTGTCATGAGATTTGGTTTGTGATACAGTGTGGATTTATTTGGAGGACTGTTAGCCGAATCTGGTGGTTCCCCTTGCTGCGTAGGGCAAGTGGGCTTCAGAGACGCATCATCCTTCCCCTTCTTATCACCAGAATCAGGGCTCAAATCTTGCCTGTCCTGGTGAACGTTGTAGCTGGAGTTTTTCATGAAGGGAGACATTTTTACGCTTTTGATGCTTACATTGGAGAGGCTGCTGGAGGCGCTCACGGTTTCTGCATCATTCATGCGGATGGGTTTCAAAAGGAAATCGTCACCTTCCGAGGGGATCTGAAGTGAGGAATCTGGCACACAGAAGCTGGTCACTGCTTTGGACTCTGCATACAGGTACCGAAATTCCTTGTCAAACTCTGCGACTATTTGACCACGGAAATGGGTTGCCAGGCTGGTGTGGACTTGGCTGCAAAGCCATGTGAAACTGCAAAAAAGGAAAAAAAATCACATGTAACTTCTGTTCATACAGACACCTGGCATTGATTTTGACATCTAAGTGATGTATCGCTACCCCATTCATGTTTCTGAATTAACACTTCTTCTGAAGTATGCAAATTGAGGTTACGTGTAGCAATGGCTATACACGTTATATAATTACTTAAGGTCATTTAATTTCAGCTTGATGATATTATGAGGTGTATGAAAATATAAGCAACAGACAAGAGGTATCCTGTACAGCGAGTGTAGCAACCATTAATACACTAACAGTAGGTTTTCTTAGCTTTGTTAAGGGCACAGAGCAGCAAATGGGCCCTGTGCTGAAAAGCACATCAGCGTGTTTCAGGCTGTTTCTTCTTCTTTCTGCTAGCACTCTGCCCACAGACAAGCATCTTTTCCCACTCCCAGTCCCATTCAGGTGGTGGAGAACACCAGTGAAACATTCATGGGCAGGCTGGTCAGCCTGTGTGGGAGGTGTAGGTTGCACCCATTGGGCAGCAGCAAGGAGACCTGCAGCTGTCTGACAATGGAGAGGCTATGGGTCGTTGAAACACAAATCCACGCGGCATTCATAGAGTCATAGAATATTCTGAGTTGGAAGAAACCCACAAGGATCATCAGGTCCACCTCCTGGCTTCACAGAGGAGCGCCCAAAATTCAAACTGTGTTTCTGAGAGTGTTGCTCAAACTCTTCTTGAATTCTGTATGGAAAGGCTCTTTCTGCCCAGTTTGCATTGCAGACCTCCTAGCTCAGCATTTGTCCTGTACAAGACAGTGCATCATCCCCTTTCACAGAGTGCAAGGAGAGTTTTTTGGAGGGATATCAAGGCATGCCTGGACTCCCCTTCTCTTCCCTTGCCTCGACATGTCCTCTGTCCTCATGTCCCTAAGATCTGCAACATGGTGGGCTCGAGGGGGCTGCTCAGTGAGGCGGGAATGGAGATCTCAAGCACTGTCCTGAGGAACAGAGAAGGTCTCCAGAGCCCCAAAGAGATAGCACAGGACAGGAAAACCAATGTTGTTTTCCATAAGTATTGCCATAAGATTCCCCAACTCATTTTATCTTTTCGTCACCATCCAGTTGAGAAAGATGTGGCGTTAGAACTGAGATCCTTTGGGAGAGCTTGTTATACTCTTAAAAAAAAATAATCAGTTTTGTTCCAGCTGATGAAGCACTTTCTCTTATTACCAGTCTGCAAATCTGCCTTACCTGTTTAACCCTACCTGTTGTTTGTGCCAACTGTAACTTAAAGAGCTCTCTGCTCCCCACTGCATATCTACAGATAGTAACCACATTTCTCCTCCCAGTCTTCATTTTCCCTGATTAAACAGGGAAGCTTCATCTATATGGTAAGCTCCACAGGCTCCTGGATATCCCAATCCTCAGCTTCTCCCTTTATTCTCACTGTAGTAAACAGACTAATTGTGTTAAATGAAACAGGACCATTGTGGGCAGAAGTGCCACCTTAAGGCTGCGCTATCAGTTGCTAAAACAAGATAGCATATCACAAGAGTAGGGTGAAATCACAGAAGCCATGGGAAAGCAATTGCAGTGGGAGGTTGCATTTGTTCCCAAGTAAATGTCATCTCAGGACAAGGTGCTGACACTGTGCTTTGGGACCTCATCGATGTTTATGTTACAGTACAGCTATCTGGGAACTCAGAGTAGGAAAAGCAGCTCTTGGCTTCTTCCTGAGCAGTACAAAGTCATTATGGCTCATAATGATGTAAGTCACAAGTTACAAAAGGTATAAGAATTAATACTCAGTAATAGTCTGGGGTTAATGCGTGGTCCAATGGCAAGTTAAGAGAATTCTGCATTGGTGTTTACCATGCAGGAGCTTGGGACGGTCCCTGCCCTGAATCCACCTCTATACACAATGAGAGAATGAGTCTCACACTGAAACCTATGTAGAAGAAGTTAGAAAACATATCAGCAAAACATTTGCAGCACCACTTAACATTAACTTGAGAGCACCAAAGGACAAAGCAGCTCAACAGCTATGTAGCATATATAATCTTTCACTTGAAAGTGCTTTAATTATCAGAAGGTTGCTAATGTGATACAATTTTTTTTCATGTTCCAGACCATTAAGGCTCATAACCACACAGCACAAATTAGCAGAGACTCTTTCTAAAGAATGGAATTAATGGCCACGTAGGTAAATACAGTATAATAGGAAAGGTGGCTTTTGTAAAGGAAAGTCATCTCTCACAAAGCTACATGAGTTCTTTGAAGAAATCTGAGAGCCCAGACGGGCAATTTCATGTAGTCCATATCTACTTCCTCAAAGGCATCTATCTCAGGAGCACTGCCTGGCTCCCAGGGATGCTGCTCTTCCCATCTGTGTTACTGACAGCTGTTGCCCTTCTGCACAGGTGTGCAGTGTCCACACTTTGCAGTCCTTACAACTCCAGATGCCCCAGTGCAGGGCTGACCCGCAGCGTTTTGTCACCCATGGCATGGCACAGGCACTATTTGGAGCCATCTACTGAGAAGTCTATCAGCTGCTCATAGGCCATGAGGCTGTTGAGGACAGCTATGGGATGCCTGCACAAACACCTGAGCTCACTTGAACTCCTCAGAATCACAAATGGGCTGATAGGGCTGAGCACCCATGCTCTGGAGGGGCAGGCTTGTGTCCCTCAGATAGTGAGCACCATCCTGTGAACAATGGGAGTAAACAAGTGGAAGAAAATGCTGCCATCCCTGTCCACCCACATCTACCACTTTTGCCAGGAGAGCTGGAAGCAGAGCTGAGCAAGAGGCCCTCCTCGTGCTGGCTAGGAGGTTTCATGTCTCACAGACTCGCACAGTCTAGCAGGAGCATCACGACAGCTACCCATCAAGGCTTCTGGCCTCACTTTATCAGTGGGCAAACAACAGAGCTTGTTTAAGTTTTCTTTCCCTCTCTGGACACCATGACTTCCACCTTCTGCCTCAGTTTCTCCCACCCTCTGGCCCAAGGTCCATCTCCCTAGAGCAAGGCATGAGGCAGCTCTCCCTGCCCTACCACAGGAACCTGCCTTTCCCCCACAAGGGGGAACCCCCTGGCCTTATGACTGTCCCACCACCCATTCCTCTCGTGGTTCTTCCTTTCCTCAGTCCAACTGGAGTACTGCAGTTTCCTGTGCTAATGCAACAGGTCCTGCCCTCTTCACATCCCAATAGGACCCGAAACACCCTGACGTGATGAAGGAGCTCTGGATTTGTGCTGAGGCACAGCTCTTCCTCACCATCATTTCCATGACAAGATGATGTGGCCTTGCCAGCCATGGCTATACCCACCACTACAGCTTCCACCCAGCCCTGTGCCAACAAACTCATGTTCTTCAGCCTATGGTGGGACATGGGACAATGCAGGCCAAGATCCGGTGTCTCTGTATGCAATAGGAA